TGTTAATAACATACTGCAGTGTGATAGGGGAAGAGGTTGTCTAGGTGTTGTATTTTGACCCATAACATTCTGAAAGGTATGTTGGAGTCAAACTCTCGTTTCTTTACTTAAAAAATGTCAAGATCTTCAAGTCACAAAGTATTTGTTGAGCAAAATGGAATGCACACATACCAAGGTGTTTAATTCAACTCTGCCCAATTTGACAAAAATCTAAAATAATTGGAATCAAAGAACAAAGCAATAATTGTGTCTGTACCCTCTTGTAGATATTCCTGTTTGGATCACTTTGGAAGTTCTTTGTTTGAGAAAATTGCTCTCCTATTGAATACAGAATCATGGGAAGCTAGAACTGAATTTCCCCTGGCACATGAAGACAGGGAAGAGCCTGCATCCTCCACCAAATTAAATGAAGAATTTTGTGATTCTGAAATAAGTGAATTGTGTGAACATTTTCAAGCCATCTGGTGTAATGCTGTCATCAAATACACCTGTACAGAAGTTATTAATGAGTGGCACGACCTGTTTACCTAAAACCTAATAAACATAACTATAAGAAAACCTTGAGATTTCCTTTTCAGTCCTCCTATGCAGAAACAAAATAGAAGAACATTTTAACTTTAACTGAATTGCTATTTTCTGTTCCAGTTTCAAATGTAAAACTAGAAAGAATGTTTTCAAAATTACAGTGAAGGAAAGCTGTTTCTAGGTGTTCAGTAGATGAGCAAAGGCTAACCCATTTACTTAGAATCACAGAAGAAGGTCCTGAACTTGGTTCCTTTGATGTGACCCCAGTGATTAAGTTATGGAGTGAAAGAAAAGTTAGAATACGCATTCAAAAGAAAAGGAAGAAATACAAAAACCACACAAAAAAAGAATAAAACTATTACCATAAGGATAATTACAATGAGCTTACGTTAACAGACATTAGTTACACAGAATGTGACAGAGCTGATGAAGATGTGAACACCAGTTGCTTTAATGTAGATGACCAGTTTTCAAGTTCTGAGGCTGAGGTGCAGTCAGAGAGTAACAAAGATGCACATTGGTGTATTGAAAATGTCCTTTTTAGTGATACTGATTCAGATACTAATTTAATTTTTTTGGCTTTTAAACTTTGTACCATATAGGTCACTCCAATTTACTGTTGTGTTTTACATGCCTTTTTAATATTATTATTTACAGGTTTAATGAGAATTATGAGAATAAAACAAGAGAACAAATTAATCTTATCATGTTTTCCTTGACTGTTTACAGTAGCATAATCATATACATTAAAATGCGTGTGACAATTACTGTCTGTGTCAGCAAGTATTTGGTGCCTGACAAAGTGTCAGGCACTAGAGAAAAAGTCATTTTCAGGCTTAATATGTATGACCAACTTACTTGTAGAACTGTACAAGAAAGAATGATTCCAAGTTGTACCTAAACTGCATTAAATCTTTCTGTAAAAAATGAGGTTTAGAAAGTGGGAGAGATAGTTTTTCATAAAATACTAATTAAACGAACAGCTGAGTAGTCTAGTATGTTGGGAGAAACTTGTCATTCTTGCCATTCATTATTTAAAAAACACAATCATTTTTCTTCTGTGCAATATGCATATTTATGGTTATTGCTAGCATTATTTACAGAGCCTTATTTCTTAAGCATTTACAATGCTTTACAGTTTCAACTCTTCTTTTTTTAATTCAATATTTGATTGTTTTGCTTAAATTTTTATTTAACATTGTTGCAATGTTTGATTTGAATATGAAATTAAAGTTTGGGAAATTGTTAAAGATGAAATCTATTATAGCAGCTTAAAAACAAATCAACACTCTAGTTAAGCCAACAATGGTTTATAATGTAAACCTACAGGATATTAAAAAATTTGAATATGGCCGATAATGCTTATATTAAAAAGTGTTAAACTAAAACCATAAAAATATTTTCTAAGGTCTAGCAAAAAGTTTTGGTAGAATCAATAAACATTATAGCATGATTATAAAACAATTAAATGTTTTAAAATATTATTTTGTAAGCATTTTCAGTGTTAAAGCAGTCAAAAGTTTATAGTGCTGTAAGGCTCAATGCTAATTTAAATTTATTCCCAGAAATTTTGAATTCAAGTTTTCCCACCCATTTGAAATTAGCTGGGTACTGAAAAAACAACTTAAACATAGAACCTAGAGAAATTTATTCCAAAAAAAAAAAAAAAAAAAAAAAAAAAAAATAAAAAAAAAAAAATAAAATAAAAACTATTAAAATAAAACACGAACTAAATAAGTATATATCA